GAATATGCATCATTAGTTTTCTTACCATCTCAAAATCATATGAGTCCAGCAAGTTGCTTTTACTTTGAGCAAACTTTTAATTTGATCACTTATATATTTAAAAAGTAAAATTAGTTTTGTAAGTTAATAATTTGTAAAGAAATTGTTCTTTATGATCTTGTTTTATTAAAAGATAAGTTTTTGAGTTATGTGACATATACATATTGATTGAATTATCATTATTGGTTACTTTTGTACCTCTTTATTTTTCTGTATCTAAACATTTACTTGTTGAGTTATTAATCTATTATTTGTACTAAAAAACCTTGTTTTGTGGTTATTTTAAAATGGTTAGTAAATTATGATAATCTTCATAACAATATTGTGAGTGACTATTTAAATGTTTTAGTTTATTTTTACTTGGGACTTTTATTTGGTTCCAACATGTTGTTCTAATTAATTAGTTTTGTTCATTTTTATTCAATTTTATGTCAAATTTAGATTATATTTATGGTATTGAATATTTAATTTTTGGTAATGTATTTGATTTATTAAGACACTGGTTGAGGGTAAGACGGTGAATTCAGGTTTCACCGCACCAAGTGGGTAAGACATCGAGTTAAAGTCTCGGTGCACCATGATAACAAGAAGTTGGGTTCAAGTCCCATTGATTTATGACCAAAGACGTCTTTATATGGGTAAGACATTGGGTTGAAGTCCTAATGCACTATAGTGATGATATTATGATGACTAACATAAAGTTTTATACTCTTGACTAAAAGTCATGAAATTTACCCAATTAATTTGCTCCATTCTCTTATGTGAATGTGGTAGTTGTGCATAATATGTCCGAAAAATGACAAGTAGTTGAATGTATGTATGGGTGTAGTAAAATTTTAATGGTCATCATTGTGGTAATTATAAGGAAGAACATTATGGCTTCTTAAGATGGTCCTTCAAATGTGAAGGTGATTTTGTCCATTAAAATGATACGAAAGGTTATTGGACACATTGTTTCTTAAGATGCTCCTTCAAATGTGAAAGTAATTTTTTTCCATCAAAGTGGTATGAGAAGTTATTGGGCACATTGTTGTTGGTGCAATCCCAATTTGAAAACTTTTGTAAATCCTCCATCAAAATAAAGGAATACAAAGTGCTAGTACATTTGTACATTTGACCTCTTAAACTGATGTTGAGGTGAGTCACATAAATTTGATAAATGTGAAAGCATGAAAATGTGTTTCTAATAAAAACTTATGAAGCATGTTCAAATGGTTATGGTCCATTTCTTAAAGAAAATGTGACTTGTGTTCTTATGGATAAGAACATGTTCATGTATTGTTGGATAAATGTCACCTCTCACCTCTACGGGAAGTTTGAGAGATTGAAAAGAAATATTTTGACATAAATGGTCATTTAGTCATATATTTTAAGTACTACACAAATATTGTGGGTATGTTAAATTATGAACTATTGAAGGACAAAAGAAAGAAATAATTCTTTCCAATAAAGGTTGTGGTTATGACCAAAATAAATATAGTTGTTTGGTAACACAAATTTGTCATTAGTTGTCAAGAAATAAGTCTTGCATGTGATAATTTTAACCATGATAATAATAATAATTTTCTCCTTGAAGGAGATGGTCACCATAAGAATGGCGTTGTGAAATTTGTGGTAGTACACAAAATTAATTGAGAGTTTCGAAAGGGCTAATTTGTTACTATCCGGAGGAATGAAATTGTTCATAATATTGAGGTTGTAGTAAGTCTCAAAAGAAAATTTTTACGTTTCGGAAGAATTGAAAAGAAAAAAAAAAATTATATTGAGACTATAAATTATGGGAAGATTTAATATCTTCAAATTACTACAACCAAGATTTAATATTGCATGATGATGGAATCACATACAAAAGTAAACTAGAAGTTTACTAGAATAAATATCAGTTGGCATAATCTGTTGGCCATTCCGATTCAAATGTGATGCAAAAGAAATTGAGAATTCATGTGACTATATGTTTGAGGAAATAAAAGATTCTTCGAGAATTCTCTTGTGTTGCTTGTTCTCATGATAAAATGATCATTGTACCAGCTAAGGTTGGGATTATATCCCTTGAAATTATTTGGAAAATATAAAGGTGAATATAGGCCCGTTCACCTGCCATGTGGACTATTTACTATTATGATTTAATAGATGCATCTATGGTATGGTCACATGTGCATTTGTATCAACTTACAAATTAGTTTTTGTAAGGTTGTTTGCTCAAATTGTTAAATTAAGAGCACAGTTCAAAACTATAAAATTATGTTGATGATACTGGTTGGTTTAGCAGAAATTGTTTGCCTCCAATTATAGCTAGACCACTGATTATGAGAACAAATTTCTCAAATAAAATTTGGTATGGGATGAGTTTATTTAACATGTATTCATCAAGCCCAACAAGGTTCTCCCATCACAATTGGTTCAGGTCAGGAACCAAATAATTTCCATCTAAAAAAAATTTTGATGTGTGCACATATGATTTTTTTGCTCCACCATGCACAAATATGGATCCCCAAATGAGATTGAGGGTAAATGTTAGATTTCCTAACATTAGGGGGAGATATGTGTAGCAGCTGAAAATTATGTGTGGGGTGAATTATATAAATCCTCGTTAAAAAAATGTGAACTTGAAGTACAAGAGATAATTCATTTGAAAAATGTTGTAAATAATTTGTCAGATGTATTTGCTGATCCAATATTTTAATTAAGCTGCAAATGCTCCAATAAAATAGTCCTTGAAGGACAGAGTCTATGGTACGCCAGAAGCGTGATAGACCAATCGATTACAAACGTAAACTCTTTGAGGAAGGAGAGGAGCAAATTATCAAAATGATCATGCTAATGAGGTAAGTGTTTTGAAATAGAACTATGACATAACAGTTCATAAAATCTTGGCAAAGGTTCAAGTACCTGGAAATGATGAAAAATGAAGAGATATCGATAAGTTATGTCTATTGGAATCGATATTAAAATGACCGTCGATGGTATCTTGGATATGAAGTAGTACTCAATGCTATAAATGTTTACGAGGATCTTAAGTTCGAATTTGTCATATAGTGTGGATAGATAAATGATTGGCACTATTCAAGTAAATTCTGTTTTACTTAGAAAAGTGATGATTTTGACCTAATAGTTCATGGAACAAAATATAATGTCAGTGTAGTACACATGAATCATTGTGTGAAAGTGTAACCGTAAGATACAAAGTGCGGTTTGTGCCTCGGGGCATAAAAAGTTTTTGAAAAAATCCTGACATTATTAAATGGAGATATATTCTCCAGTGGTAGATGCATAATGAATATGAATAATGAATGATTATTATGTCTAACTAGATGATGAAGGTTATATGAAAATCCTTGAAGGATTTAAAAGGTCTTAAAGCAATTCAGTTGAGTACCCAATGATTTTGAGATTGCTTAACACAGAGAAATAATCTTTTTGATCTCATGCAAATGATTTAAAATGACATGTATTAGTGCAATTGGTGCCCTTATATATTGTTGGTTATGCAAATGTTAGAAGATTATTTGATATACATAACGAAAATTATGTGAAAGGATTGTCATAGTATCATTCAAGTTATGACAAGAAACTAACAAAGCAAGTGACTCAACACATAGAAGATGTGCGATTTTCTTTCAGAAGAAAATATGAGCTTCAATAAAATTGAAATGATCAATCTCTGAGTCAGAAATGATCTGATTGTGTAGATGCAGAATATTTAGCTGATCTGCATAAAGCTCGATCGCAAAAGGACTATTTATTTACATATGGAGACAAAACAATATCTTGGCATTTACAGAATCACATTAGTAACCACTTCTTCAAATCATGCAGAAAGAATATTGATTTATTAAATAAGTCGGAAGTATATTTGGTTGGAATCATGATATATCATATTCAGAAAATATGTTATTTTCTTTTGAAAAGGATATTTCAGCCAGCATATACAAAAATAATATATAGCTCAATTGAAGGGAGGATACAATCAAAGGAGATCGAACAAAACATATTTCACAAAAAGTCTTTTCCACACATAATCTTCAACAAAATGATGAGATAGATGTTCAAAGACACATTCAAGTGATAATATTGTAAGCTTATTCACTAAGGATTGGCAACATCAATATTTGAGAAGTTGTGATATAAGATTAGAATGCATCGTCTTTGAGATATCAAGTAAAGTTTTTATCGGGGGAGAAAAATACGCGTTGTACTCTTTTCCTTAACCATGGTTTTAACCCAATTGGGTTTTCCTGGTAAGGTTTTTAATGAGGTAACATTCAAGCGTATTAAAAGATATGTGTACTCTTTTTCCTTCACTAGGATTTTTTCCTAGTAAGGTTTTAACGAGGGATATTCTCGATGGATATCCAAGGGGGAGTGTTATAAAATATTATAGTGTGGATGTCCACTACAATAAGAAGTTACTCTCACCCATTATCTGCATTACTTTCCTCCATTATGAAGGTAACCATAACCTCCATAACCTCCAACTTTATAATCATTATTCACTACAAGAAAAATGTTCTGTAGCGAAGGGAAAAATGGTCCCTAAAGGTGCATTTCTGGTCCCAAAAGGTCATTAGCGACCGAAAAAAACTGGTCGCCGCCCGTCCCAATAAGCTTCTTCGCTAAAAGCCATCAAGGACGAGAGGGAATGGCTGGTCCTTAAAGTGTTTTTGCGACCAGTTGAAATCTAGTCCTTAAATATCTTTTCGGGACCACTTTTCTGGTACCTGATTGATAATTTTAGGGACTACATTACTGGTCGTCAATGGCTTTTGGCGACCAGTTTTTCCCTGGTCGTTAAGCTATTTCTGTGATCTGCTCAAAGCTGGTTGTTAGTTCTCACAACCAGATTATCAACCATCAATCTTGTCTATATTCAATTTGCAACTACAAAATCAAGTTATTAATATAAAAATGTTACTTTCATAAATATTGAAAAAGTAATTACAAAAGATGATAAGCATCAGATATTAGAACTGTATAACAACTATGTACGATAGTCACTGTATTTTGTACATAATATCTTACCAAAAACCTATATAGCTATTATCCCTAAACTGCACCTATAACATGATGGTCGTGAATTTGTTTCTTCCTCAAAAAATTGCTTCTTGTAAACTTCAATTTTTCATAACCTGTAAAAGTAATAAAATTCATTTAGAAAAGACAAAGAATCAACTAGAAAATTGGTTAACCTTATAGCACAAACTATCAAAAAATTTCTTATTACAAATAAGATTCCAGTGACAAAATAATATAAGAATGCAACAATGTTGCCTTCAAAAATTTGTACAAACTCTACATGTGTAACATTCATTATCTATTTTAGGTTCTTCCTACTAGCTAGTCATACCATAGTAGTGGTCTTTTAATAGGTAATCTAATGATAACTCGCCTAATTTCTTTATGTTTTTGACACTTCAAGATTACAATTAATCTAGTTCAACTTCTAGCTTACATCTAGCTATCTATAAACATGAGAAACTACATTATTGAATCCTAATTTATATAAAATAAAATCCTCTTCACTCACATCAATTCTCAAGTAAAAGAACAGATTGTCTTTTTTTTTTATGCTTAGTTATTTTCTAGATTAACCTTAGAGCTATTTTTACCAAATCATCATAAATATGGCCCTGGACAATAGTAGATGTTCTATTTTCTCTTGATTAGTTCATGGAAGTGTTGGCTTCACTCCTATAGTTGCTCGTTTGGTGTATTTATTATAATGTGAACATCAAAAATATTTGATGTCTCTATTTTTTTTTTATGCATCATAGAGTTTATGATCTCAAGCATAAAGAAAACTCAAAGGGTAATTGTTGTTAAACTAAAATATGTTTCAAACAAGAACAGGGAAAACTAAGATTTCATCTTTCTCTAATATGCATGCAATATCTACATTGAAGAAAAATAATATATGAACTTGAAAGAAAATAGAAACAGTTGAGAGTTCATTTGGTGATTTCATATCTTATGTGGAAGGTAATGTCACTGACGAAGAAGTTATAATAGAACCAGAATCAATTAAAGTACATGTCAACATTTCATTTAAGTAACAATATTAAATTGAGATGTTATAAATAAATTATCAATCAAAGGACCATAATATGAATGAAATTACATAACAAGGTACTATGACAAACCTGTAAACTTCATGTAGAACAATGTTCCTTTAGCAATCACTCTCATTGTTTCTTGTCTACCTCCTTCAGCACGTTCTTAAGAGCCTCTTGGATTGAGTTACATTTTACATACTTAGCATGTAATTGTCCTCTTCATTTGTTCCATAAATCTTTTACCCATCGTGAAATATGTTAGCGATAAACATCCATGTCATCACTATCAAATTTATCCTGCAACTAATTAAAGAAACATGATCTCAACCAATATTCATATCATCACTTTCAAGTAATTCTATTTCATTTAGTCAAGGAGTGTCAAGGGAAAATTGTTCTAACACACAGAAAAAATGTGTATGCATTTTAGTAGTTCTGGGACAAACACAATCAATCGGTTGCAAATTTCTAAGAGTAAGAGTTTATGGTCCAAATTGCCAAAAGTACACATTCAGGGTGCAAAATGCATTCTATTAGGAAAGGTTTTTCTAGAGTCGTGGCTGCTATTCAACCGACTGCTTTTGTAAAATTCAGTGTATTTTGCTGCTAAATGCTCTTGTTAGTATTGTTTCTTCCCAAAAGAAGAAGAAAAAGAACAATACCAACAACAACAATAAAATCAGTGAAACAGAGGTTTTTACTTTCCAAAAGAAGAAATTTATATTTTTAAGTTAAGATTTCCTTCAAAACTTGTAACTTCATAAATTTCGAATTTTGTAGTATTCTGTTTAGACACCAATGATTACAGCTATACAAATTGAAGATTTTACAGCAAGATTCTAAATCAGTGCAAGGAGAAGGAGGGGTTTTATTTGCCATCAAATTATTCATATACCTTTAATTAGTGACTAATTCTAGCTCTAAGTAGTACATCATTTTTTGAAAACAGCAGAGACATGTTTAATGGAGTTACATTGGACTACAATAAATATCCACGACATTAGTTATGACATTCTCTTCAATACTTAGTCTTGAACCGAACCGTCATGCAATAAGAGCTACAAAAGCTTCACACAACAAACTTGTTGCAAGACTCTACAAGTTTAGATGCCTTTCCCACAAACCTCCTCTCAAGCTCAAGCCCATCCTTAACTGTGACTTCACAGAGCTATTATCTCACAAACAAACTTAGGAGATCATATTATTTTAATTCACAGCAAATTACAACTTCTGAAACATTAAGAGAATGCATATAATTGTTGAAAGGACTTGATAACAACATAAACTCTTTTTACATGGTTACTATTTATCACATGAATTACATTTGTATCTCTATGAAGATGGATAAAACTCTATAACATTATCTTACAAGCTAGAAATGCTTACATGAAAATACTCTTAGAAGAACAAAGATTCTTGAGTAAGATGTTGAATCCAACCAAGAGACATGAGTTGTATTCCTAGAAATAGTAATAGAAAAAATAAAACTTCACATGGAAGTAAGATTTCTACTTGATATTCTTCCATTCAAATTTAAATTTTCTATCAAGTTTCACATATCCCGAGAATGAATAAGGCATTATAACATGTTAATGGATAAACACTTAATCACATTCAAATCAACGAATACAACAATCTGATAAGTTGACAAAAATTACAATACATGCTATAAGTGTTTATTTTTAACAACAATGTAGAGAGGAATCTTAAGGTATAAGAGGACATTAACTTTAGCTACAGTGAAATATACCATTCTGAACTACATTTGGAACCTAGTCTTGTTTTTCCTACTAAAAAGAAAAAGGTAAAAATACTATCTGGAAAATAAACAATTTGACCATTTTCATATTTATGGGGGTTCCCTAATATAAAAAAACCATAACTGTCTTCTTTTAAATTACACCAAAAAGCCAAAGTTACATTATACACACTAGAATGTTTCATTCTAAAGAATTAGACGTTCAAACTATCATGGTCTCTAATGTTAAATCGTGAATCATCATTAGATTTTAAGTAATTAGGTAGCATGATTTCAGGTGAGAAATAGAACTTATCAAACATGAAACTTAAGAGGCATATTTTCAAATGTCATTCAGATACAAAAAACATTGATGAAATCTAGAAATTCTAGGAGAGGAAAGAAGCGTACAAATTCACTTCCTAGTATGGAATGCTAAAAACTTACAAGGCCAAAAACTTTCTTCATAAACACACAATAACATTATGTGTAAAGCTTACAAAGGAAGATAAATTCTTGTGTAAAGATCCAAACATTCATAATCCATTCAACAACAAGACTTTTGAAAGAAAGATCAAATGAATTAACTTGTCAATAACGAATATCCAAAAATAAAACAAAGAAACATTTAGTCATACCTTCTAAAAAACAAGCACACATGGTTCATTTGTTCAAAATGAGGCAATTCAAGAAAAAGAAAAGAAACATACCTTCTCATTAAGTGCAACAATTATAAATCTAAAATAACAAAGAAAGAAGGCTAAAATAGGATTAATAAAACAGGAAAAGAAGCAAGAAACAATGACAACTGAATAAGGCAATCATATATTCTAACAAAATTTGAAATCAAACCCAATAATTGAATGCATGATAAGTACAATTGCACCAAGTCAAAGTAAAAATAAGATAATAACACTAGTGTACTGAATCTACATTCAAAAATTGTATATAGCTTCATTCCCATGACCCCCAAAATAAAAAAATGCCAATGAATTAATCAGGTAAAAAGACATGTGTAGACAAAAAATTCTATTCAAACCAACAACTAACAAATCTGATTTTTCCAAAAGTATTAAAAAACTTTCAACCATGATTTATCCCATAGCTACCAGCCACAATTTCTCTCTCAACAAGGAATGGGCGCTGTAAATGACATTTTAATTCTTGAGAAATTGAAAGAGGATATAAAAGAGCATGCAAAATAAATAAATAAAATAATCATGAGAAACAAATAACATATGAGAAGAAGAGAAAAATCATAGTATATGGGTTTTGTATGGGTCAAACGCAGTTGAAAAGAATCCGATACTAAAATGGCAAACCTACAAGAAATTCGATTGTGGGAAGACCCGATGAGATCATCATGCCGAGAAGTCTTTGGCCGCTAATGTGATATCAAGTTCGCAAGTTGCAAATCATGATATTGAGAAGGCTATGTGTGAAGTTTTAGGGTTTGAGAGATGAAGGATTAGAGATCTAATTTGTTGAATGGGATAAATAGATATTTTAATAGAGTAGCGTTTTAGTAATATAGGACTATTTTAACCTTTTATCAATTTTACATTGTTTTTAATTTTATTTACTATTTTGTTTTGGAGGAAAAGTGTGGTGGCGCTGATTTGTCCCGCTTATAAAGAGGATTTGGGACCAGATAATGATAATTTTAAGGACTACATTTTTTGTCTTCGCTGACACAATAAATAAAATTTAGAATAAGGGACCAAAAAAAAATGTCGTCCCTATTAGTATAGTTTTAGAGACCAGATTTTCAGCTCATCCCTAAATGTTGGTCCTGAAAAGGCATTTTTCTTGTAGTGATTCTTGTAAAATTTCACTTTCATAACCTCCTCTATTATATTCATGCCAATGTCATGTTTATGACTAACCTTTTGTTTGCCTCTATGTTACACTATAAATAGAGGCATAAGTTCATATTGTAAACACTTGAAGACTTGGAAGAATAGGAAACGCTTTCATATCTTGTCTCTATATTTCTATTGTTTTCATCTTCTATATTTCTTGACTTATTTTGCTTCAGTTTTACAATAGAACTATGTTTATGACTTAAGAAATCTTATAGATGAGATTGTCTATATGTTCTATGAAGCTTGGCCACATGACATGAATGACATCTAGATTTTCCCTCAATGCTTTTAGGGCTATTTTTCTAAATTAGGTCTTGATTAGTATGATATCTGGATATGCCATCAATGATTATAGATCATGTTTTCAAAACTATTTCCATTAGTATTAGGGGTATCTCTAGCATGAAGTGAATAACTATGGGCCTTAAAAGCTATTATGAAAAGATCATGGACAGTGAAAGATTTTCTCACGAATGGTCTAAGGAGCTATTCTATGATAAGACATGTGGAGACTACCCATGTATCTTAATGATAAGCTAAGTCAAGACTTAACAACTATTTCATGGGATTTATGCTTAGCACCGAGAGGATATTGAGATGGAAGCTCCGCCGTGTTGAGGTCGGGTTTCTAGAAGCAATCTCATTATCCCCTACCTGTGTGCCCCCATAGGTTGATGGTCTAGATAGACATAACTAGAAGATCCACTTTAGCTCAACAATGGTCCTACCTTGGCAAGTAGGACATGCCTTTTCGGTGTGGGAGACACCAGGGGATCGTGTTATATCTCACAAGGTCTTTATGTCAGCTAAGGCTAATTCCCACAGTAATGAACTAAGGTTACTTCAAGAAGTATCTCACATGTGTTCAAAGACGGTTTTACTTTCATTAACCACATTTTATGACTCATGTTTTCTAACCCCCATATCTTATGTATTGAGATGGTCTTTGCATATCACAAATATGTCCTTTTTAGCATAATTTCATACTTTTATGCATGGTGATCACACTTAGTGCTTTTTTTTTACTAACGCATACTCTTGCCTACATTTTCCAGAATGTAGGGTCCGGCAATTCAGATTTGCACTTCTGTGGCTAGGGATCTCATATAGAATATTGAAGATTGGTGAATCCTAATGTTACGAGGACCAAGCCTTTACATCATTATGCCTTTACTTTTATTTTTTGAACTTGATCTACGGGTTACGCTCCGATTTATTATTATGTACTAGATGGCTTTGAGACGATGTTTATACTTTCCCTGTTCTCTATAAAACTTTTATATGTTGAAACTGTCTTTTAAATATTTGATGTTATATTATCTTATATGATGAGTGCTAAGTGTCTTGCATGAGGCCTTTCGGGATCTTATACGTCTTGTTACGCCTAGGGTCTACCTTGAGTCGTGATGCTAACAAGTAATCTAGGGGTGTGGAGATGGGAAATTGATGTCACATATGGGTCATTGTGATTCTCTATAGTGATGAAAATTCATGAATAGGCTAAGTTATCTTCAATGATGCTAATCATCTTTCGATCTCAAAGAATCATCTCATAGAATTTTCATTTGGTCTCATCTAGATGAGAATCTAAACAATCCAATACCTTACTATATTCTCTCTATTGATACAGAAATAGGGAAAATAGATCCGACCCACGAGCTCTATTTTCAAGTAAGTTACAAAAATCACACCTAAATTTCTAGTATTGGATAACTACCCACTCTAATAAATCTCTTTTGAGCATCGACCAGAGATCAGAAGTAGGAATTAAGTTAGCAACCTTAACCAATAAATTAACCCCATGCTAATTAGCTCAAATTCATGTATTAACATCTGCAAAAGGAAGCATAACATAATACACACTACATTAAATCAACACCCAACCCCATAATTGCACCCCCTACATCTTGGGGTTTTAGCCACCCATCACTAAAAGCAAAAAACATATACCTTCCATGATTGCAACCATGGGTAACATGAAATTAATCAATTACAAGTAAACCTACTTTGGATTTATCTTCAATTTATCAAATTCAAAAGAAATGTTGACAAACCTCAAAAGCTAGAAAGTCTTCTTCACAAAGGTCAAGCGTTCTATCAAAACTCAAAATATTTCTTAATTTTTCTAATTTTCAGAACTATCTCATTTCACTCTCATTCGAGCTATTCATAGTTTCCCAAAATGTAGCTCAAATCGCAATACCTATTTCATTTGGCGACATAAGTCAGGCTCGCCGAGCTCGTTCGGTGAATCTCTTTTGGTGCTTCAACTCGCCTTTTCATGTTTCAGGCTTTAGGTGTTTGAACCTTAATCGCCAAACTCATTCGAGTCTACCTTTCACATTCAGAAAATCACTGATTACCACCTTGGTTCGCCTCTCAAACATTCATTTTTCTCCATGCATTGTTAGTTTCGGTGACGTTCAACAAGGTCGCCTTTCTTCTTTGGCGTATCCCCTTCATTGTTGATGTTAGCCAACCTTTTTTAATAGACACAAATTTTGTGCACTGTCATTTTGGGGGAGGTCATGCTCACTAGGTAGTCGTCTTTCTCTTGGTGATCAATAATGCATAGTTTGCATTTTTTTTGCATTTTTGGCCTGTCTTTCAAACATCAATCCTTGCCTTATCGATTTTCCTTCATATCTACAAATCATTAACATATCATCAGAATAAAACAAAATTAGGCATTGAGTATACTATTTAATTGTAATACTCGAAAAATTTCTAAGTTAAGATCTGAACTATTCTTCATTTACATGTAGGGTCGTATCGAGTTTTTATTTAATTGCTCATATGTGTAAAGGTAAACTCTTTAGTGTGAAAATGATTTTGGATATCAATTAAGGGCACTAGAATCTCCAAGTACAAAGTTGAGTTGAAAGTTTTCTTACCGATTAAGTTTTGATGTAAGATTCTACCTAGGTCAACTTCAAACGACCATATATCTTTGAATATAAAGAGCTACGTGGCCCATAACAAATCTAATTAAAGGTATTTGAATCTTCTTTGCAACACCACCAATTTCTCAACAATCCGAGTTTCGAGTAATATGTTATGACCATTTTAGTAACCTGATACAGTGTAGTGACGAACTAGCCGACGGGAAAACATTAAAAAGAGTCATTTTTCTTCTTTTACCTCTAAGAACTCTACACGAATTTCTTGACTAATTATAGACCCAAAACAATCAGATTTTCATCTCTTAATCCATCATTCTCTTCTCTCTCAAACCCAATGGCAAAACCCTAAGGAAAAATCAAAGAAAAAGACTTCATTCAAGATTCTGTCAATCTTTTTCAAGATTCTTTCAATCTTTCTCAAGATTCTTTCAATCTTTCTCAAGATTCTTCTTTAAGATAATTCTTTCTCCAAGAATTTCCTTTTTTCCAACTCAAATTCATCCATACAATTATGAATCACTAATGAAAATCATAATTCTTTGCCATAGAGATTTCAAGAAACTAATTCAAGAATCTCAAGAAATGTTTTCTTGTTGTTTACCTTCAATCTAGGGTTTCCAGGCCTCTAATCAAGTTCGTATTCAAGTTTCTTCAAGAACCTTGTTCTTCTAGGTATGTAAGACTATCATAGTATTGGACTAGTTCGTCTCACGCCCTACATCTACTTTGAAAATCAGTAAAAGAGAAATCTAGGACTCTACCCCTAGATTTGAGTATTCTTGAGATGAGTTGATTTTGAGTTCTCGAGTTCCTGTTTCTTTTTTAAATTATATTCCTAATTATTGAATTGCTATATGTTATGTAGTAATATTCTTGAGTTCTTACGTTCTTGATTTCTGAGTACTAAGTTTCCATATTCTTATTAAGACCCCTGAGTTTAATCGTTCATATCCATAATTCTGCATGAACCCTATGAATTGAGTTATAAATTTTGAGAAGCTTATTAAATCCAACATTTGAGTTTTAAACCGAGTTTCTTAGAAAGTAATGATGAGTTTTGAGAAAGAATTTGTAAAACATAATTAGTATGACAGTCGAGTCTGTCATCAATGTTTAAGCAGTATGGTATCTAGATATACCAGCAATGTTTATGTTGGATGACTTCCCGAGTCATCAATGATCATATCACAATATAATTTTGATATATATTTGGGAAAAAGATTTCATGTATTATTTGAGTAAGAGTATAAAGGAACTAAGTATTTCCAAAGATATTAGTCTTTACATTGATAAAAGAGAAACTTTGATTTCTAAATGAGTTATGAGTTCAAAGATATTTCAAGAGAAGTTACCTCTTTTAAGAGGATAGTTTGAGCAATTATATCAAACTAGAGGAAGAGTATGTTTTTAAACATTGACAATGAAAATATTTGTCACATCTCGGAAATTGAAATAACTAAGACGAAGCTAATAATTGAAAATAGTCATTTTTGGAAAGAATGAAAATCTGGAAATTTTGTTAAGTTAGAATAAGTTGAGTTTTGGCCAACTTCAAACGACCATATATTCTACCTCAGGATGAGTTCGAGGTACTTCCAGATATGATAGGAAAGCTCTTGGAATGATATTTCCAACGCCACTGAGTTTGCGCAATTCCGAGTTCGTATGAGTGAGTTATGCCCTTTGGAAGTTGGGCTGTTGGAATAAGGAA